CCCTCCAACTAAAATGGTGAGCTGTTCAAAGGATATTGAGGACTTTTAGAAGCAACTTAGAGGATTTTGAGGATTTTCTAGTGCTTGCCAAAATTTCAAAAAAGTGGGAGCAGTTCGGCTTAGAGGGAGCACCACATGGTGCTCAGCAATGTTTTTATAGGTTATCTTGTAAAAACTTGTGAGTTACTGCGATTAAGATGGCTCATTTGCACCATTTCGTAGCTTCACAACAGTTTAGCTATCCAACTGAGATCTGTTATTTAGAATGAACTAAAAAAGGACTTGGAAAAGTGCAAAGCGCCCCTCCCCCCGAAACAACGGGAAAAAGTGCTCCCAGTCACAGGCCTTCATTTTCTCTCTAGTACCCGAACCCTCTAGTATCCAAACTTCTTAGCGGTTCTTTTCTCATCCAGTAAAAAGCGGTGCACAATATTGCGTTCTCACGTCCACTCAGAGGTCTTTCATGTTCCGAAATGTCGCTGTTTTTCCCCACTGTACTTCAAGGACACGTTGGTCGTGTGGCCAGCCGCCGCTTTCGCTTTGTCAAATTAGTTGGCCATGAATCATCCGAGTTGCAACGGCAGCTGCTCGTCGTCACGGCTCCTACGCTCGTGGTCAAAGAATATGTGAAAGGAGAAAAAGTCAAAGGCAGGAACAAGCAAGAAGAACGCAGGCACAAAAATTCCAAAGACATACTTCACGACACTAAGATGGCTCCAGGAGTTCTAGATATGAAATCTCAGGTGCTAGGCCATGTTCCTGCGGCAAAAGGAGCTTCCAAAACTGCTCTACGTAAAACCTTTCTTTTTAGCCTGGTTGCTTCACAGGTTCATGGAATGATAATTAGCCCTGTCTGCTCCTTTTACGACACCTTCCGCGGTGAGCGAATGGGTGGAGGCTCACAAAATTGTGCTTTCCCCAGAAAATGCTCTTCCCCTAATTATGGTGGAGAAAAGGAACGCGTCAATGAAGCAGTCACAGTATTGGCGAGTCTCCGCCCGTTTCCTTGCCCGTTTGATTATAGGGGAATGTGTCTTTAAGTCCGGGGATACACCCCAGTAGTAACACAATGGATCTAATGCATATGTGCAAAATCGCTTGGAATTTGTGTATGATAAGCAAACTAGACTAAGAAACAATTTAATGGCGAGGAGTTCCAGCAAAAAGCCTACTAAAGAATTGGTAGACGTACCTCTAACCGCGATAGGCCGCGGTAGATTACTGCCTTTCCATACTTTTACGTTTTTCACTCGATCATAGTACGGATCACAGGTGCCATTATCAGAGCAGAACAACGGCCTCAGACCCTCTACCGTACAATTCGGCCGAAGACGTGCGTGTCGTTTCATAGTAGGTTGTCACATCCACCGGTCGATCGCCCATCATACAAAATCTGAACAAAATTCAAGTTTTGCGAGCCTTAAGCGGTGTTCATTTTCGGATGGTAAACGAAGCAGCAACGAACAACAAAACTAAACAGCAGACATTATACACCTAGAAGCATTTCGTTCAGTAATAGCTCGACCTGTTGCACTATTATTCATTACAGTTTTTATACATCATAATTACAATAAGCTTTTCCGTAACCAAGCGAGAGTAGGGGCAAGATAATCATAATACGGTAGGCGTGGCGAGCGCGGTGGTGGGCGGGGCGGCGAGCTACATCTGGTAGGCGCTGGCCAAAGCAGAGGAAAGCCATGGCCGTTTGAACGATATGAGTGGAAGTTATATGCAAAATACTTCATATGCCCCCCTCATTAGAGTTTTGTTATGGGAGTTTCGCTGCTCTAAACTGACCACATTGAGTAGTCGAGTAGTGGCCGCGCTAGACCGTAGGACACGCAGCACGTGGCGACGCGACAAATTTACAATGCTCTTCGCCTTCTGCCCCTCAAACGAGAATTGCAGAGCGATTGCCGTCCACAGAGTTAGGAATTAGAGGCTCAGTTCGGCTTGGTTGGGGGCCACCATTTACTGTACGTGAAGCCTGCCCAGCACAGGCTACCTTGTGGAATCCCCTTACCAGGTGGCTCACCTGCACCCTCTCTGCAGCTTTACATGAGTTTACAGTTCTCACTTTGATAAGACTTGTTAGTCAACATGAAGCAAATGTCCCCCACCCAATGCCCCCCCCCTCTCTGAGCGGTTCACGTTTTTGAAGGCGCCAATAGGGTGTTGCGTAGCATGCTCGGGAGGGATAAAAACCGCTTTTTTATAGCGCTAAATTGCCCTCTAATATGTGACGGGGGGGGCCGCGGGGCGGGGGGGCGGGGGGGACCCTGATTCGGCTACATGTCAGAAGTAGAGTTTGGGGTGGAGCCAGCCGTTTCTCACCCACTGCTGTCGCCTACCTCCTTCATTGATTGATGGAGAACAGGTTGACGCCGCGCCAATCCAGCCCCCTGACACGCCTAGGAGCCACAGTGAGGACTGTAAAAAATGACGCTTCAAAGAGGTTGATCAGCGGCAGAAGCTTTCTTTAGCCTCACATAGCAGACAGTTCCTAGAGCTAGGCCAGTAAGGGATTTCGAAGGGCCCCACCATGCAAAATCAACTTGTATTTAAGCAAAAAATTAAGGTTTCCAAAAATATTAAAAGGTTGAGAGTGATGAATCTACGGACTTACTTGAGCGAGTCTGAACCGTTGAATTTCACAAAGGCACCAAGAAACGACGAAAATATACAGAATAGTACGACAAATACGAGTGGTAATGCAAACTTGTTGACCACCTAAAATATTTTCCATAGTGGTTCCGCCAATATTTTTTTCTCCGATTTTTGAAGCATGATTTTATTGCCGTGGTTAATTCGGAAATTCAAAGCAATATGCAAATGCACGCGAAACATTGTCAATTATATGCGTTTTAGTGACGGTTTACTCTAATTCGAGAAGGAGTTTCATAGACACTGCGAACTCTGAATGTGAAAGAAGGTAGAAGAGAGTAAAGCACAATAGAAAGAAGGCAAAGGAAGCCGCGGAAATTTGGAAGTTACCTTAACTCCAGCGAGGACGATCAGACCAACCAAAAACAGCAATCCGGAACCGAACAACCGGAAATTATTGTAGATACTCTCGAACACCTTGCCTCCAGGCATTATGTACAACTGAAAATCATTACAATTATTTTATTACTGTTATTTACTACCACTATATTTGTTATCCATCGGTCGTTGCAATTTTCGCGGTCAAATGAGGAAGACTTTTCGCTCATTCAGTTTACATAGCTCCTTCTCAGAATCTCTTCTCTAGTACAGTCCTCATCCCTCCTGCAACCAAATGCGACCCTGTATCCTGTATTGCTACAGGGTCAACAAGCGTGCAATCTCAGAAACTACCATGAGCAGTAGCCCTTGAAGTCGACGCGCAGGATAGCGCAGGGTTAAGGAACCACCTCCTCCGCTTTCTGCATGGTGACTTATCTGCACATCTGGGGCAATTTAGTGAGGATCTAGAGTTATTTAGCTCTCGATATCCAAGGGAAGCTCCAAGGGGTTCAGTAGATGGTACAGTAAGTACCTGTGGGTAGGGTGGCAGTGCTGGACATTATACACGCGGAGCACGCCGCCATTGGGAAATCCCCACGGAAAGGAGAAGGTTTATTGATTTATTGGTTCGCGGCTGGACGGTAGAGGGTGGGCAAAAATTCTCATTCAACGGTTAGGACGGCAGTACTGGTACCTTTATGATGCAAAGTGGTAATCCTCCAGTTCCGGAAAGATCCGATATCTTAGATTAAAGTAGAGTCTCTATACGCTTGATATCCTTCCGAGCAGGACTTAAATGGGAATCACCCGTTTGGAGAGATTCTCGAACAGCCCTGCTCTGTTTATCTGAACGCCTGTTTGGGTGTGCATTTTCCTGATTATACCGGAGCAAATTTCACTTGAGAGACTTCATTTCACGGAAATAGCGAGCAACTGGGATGTACGACGATTTTTCATTCCCAAAGAATGACGTCATGACAGTGAAATGATTAAATCGCGTCAGTCGCGACGTTTTCTGCATTCCCGTTGAGTTATGCTGATTTCTGCTGCGAAAATTACCACATTTAAATGCGCATATTGTTAGGATGTGCGCATTCCTAAGGGCTATTTCTTGTTTTCGATGAAGCGCCTCGATAAAGGTGGAAAACACTCGTAGGCTCTTTTAGGCAGGGCACATCATGGCAAGGAGGAACGTTGGCGCACTGAGCGATTCCGCGCCTTTCCCTCAATGTCATAAGCGGGCTTTCTTCAACCTTGAGCTCCAATTTCTGCTACCCTGCTAGCCTGTTCATCTCTGATTTCCAAAAACGACTCGTCAAAAAAAGCAGGGTGCTGTGAACAACACTAGAGCACAAGATACAAACTCCTCCCAGTGGACCGAATATGGCCACTTCCCTGCACAAAGACAAAAAACATTCCACGGCCCCAGGGCTATCTGCTACCGTATCGGGCGCTTGGTTTAGTTTTTTGAGACCCTATAACGGTATGGATTAGGGTAACAACAGTTCACCGGGCTGCAAGATCCTCCCGGTCCCAAGGAGCCGTTCATTAAGGAGCTCGTCGTTGAGAACTCTTCAATCACTCCGTGCCCTGCCTGTCGGTACGGTTCCTCCCAGGAAATAGCTTGCGCTGTGATGACAGCTCCTCAAAAATGTTAATCCAGCTGGTTTTTCGGAACTCAAAGCCAATATTCCCATGACGTTCTGGGCCTTGTTTCCCTAATTTCGGTGTAGTTCCCGTCGTTTGTGATACTAAGCTCACTAGAAGTTCAGAAGAGATTAGTTGCTTCAGAACTCCAGGAGAGCCTCCTATAGTTCTTCGGGTGTCGAAATTTCAGAATGTGAAGAAAAAGCAGGTTGTTTTGATGCCTTTACGCTTACCTAAGCTAAACTCTGCAAAAAGGAGTAGTTTGGCAGTCATGAGGCGGGACATGTGAAGTGGGGGAGAGTCACAAAGAACTACTGCACTGCTTTGAAACAGTCAAAGGCTTTTGAACTCACCAAGAATATCTCCACAGCTCCGGTCAGATACATAGAGGCGGCTACCGTCGTTCCCAGATAGAACAGAATACCAACAGCACCGCCGAGTTCAGGTCCAAGATTACGGGAGATCATGTAGTACGGTCCTCCACCCGATACCACCCCGTTAGTGGCGATTGCCGACAGAGAAATCGAGGTGAGGAACGTCTGAAAGAGTTGACTATTAAGCTCGCCATTGTAGCGTTTTTTATTATAATTAGTTGAAATGTTGAAAAGTAATGGCGAAGAAAGCCCAATAGTTTTTTCCTGTGAAATTCGATATGTGGGTCAGGAAATCCACATCGCTGCAACGCGAGGAATGCTCGCTACACGCAGCATTTCCTGGGCACCTAACTACCTTTTGTGCTGTCCTACCTTGCGTAAAACTCCTTCGAATATTCCCACCCACCCTGTCATTGTATGGCCATGCAGTGCACGTCCTGCAGTTGGGGAGCATTTTACAAGTTACGAGCCTCCCCCTCTGTCCAAAGACAAAATACGACCCCCCAAAATACGTGCCCTGGATATTCCATTCAATCAGCTACTACGATTTCGTGTGAAAGTAGAGTGCGTGCCGCATCCCAAAAAGGATGGATCGACGGCGAACCCTCGCCAAAAGCTACAGTAACCCTCCTCCATCCTATGTCAACTTATTTTCTTCTGAATTCTACTCTATCCTTCAACCTCTACCTCCACTAATTGATTCTCTCTCCATAATTTTCCACTTTTTTTCTGAATTTCAAGGGAAATTTTCACAACGTCATTCTTTTCTTCGCCATTCCCTTCCTCTGTAAACTTTGTACTTACCACAGAAACACAAACGAGAACAACGAAAAACGATTGAACAATGCCCGCGGTGCCAACGATCCACGTCATTCGAATGAAGAATAGCACACCGAAGATGTTTTGTATACAAGGGAAGAACACACCCATGAGCACACCCATTTTGGCGGCCTGAAATCATTAGAATTCTGATTGTTTCTGAGATTTCAATGTGCCAATTCTTTTGAACATTCCCTCATATTAGATGTTCTTCGGCCATCATCCTCATGGACGGCAGCAGGAGCCGCTAGGCAATTGAGTTTCGCCGTCTCGAAGAGGGACAAGTGGGGCAAGCGGCGGCACGAGGAGGACATTGCTATTCGAACGAAATTCGCTTAGACGCAGCTCTACACGAAATTCGTGCCGCTGTGCATCAATTATTCGCTTTCAAGAAATCGAGTTATAGCAGAAGAAGGCATTCACTGAGGAATGCCATCGAGGTAACCCAAGGAACACTTAGCAAATGCCTGGTGCCCACAACAAGCGCCCGAATGGGTGTGATTTCACAGAATTCCCATCCCAGCGCATAATCATCAAGCCAGAACTTTCATGCCTTCAAAAGCAATTTTCCGACAAGTCTATTGTCGGAAGGGAGGAGAGAGGACGCCTTACGTAAAACTGGGAACTCCCTGTTGAACAGGGGAAGTTTTCCTCAACTTGGAGGCTCCCACGTGGTCGAAGCTTTTTTCATAAAAAAATCGGGGATTGAAGGTGTGGCAATATCAGTTTTCCGCAAAGAATTCTCCAAATATCCCCCCTCCCGATATGTCTTGCCCAGCAACTTTGCATCTTTCAAAATTTTGCATCGCTGTTCGATGTTCTGTGAATTATGAGGGTTCTATGTCCGCAGTAATCCTAGCAATTAGTCAAAAAATGTGCTCACTGGGGCTTTAGGGTGTCATTTCCCAACCGATCCACCAGCCGCGATGGTCCAAGACGCTAGAAATACTAAGGATGACGTTGCAGTCCTGGACCTGGGCAGGCACATCATCCATAAGAAAATCTCATAGGGGATTATATTTGAGCCACTGTGGAGAGGGACCATATTCGGCTTGCCGAGAGGGTTCTCCATTACTTAGGAGGCCTGGAGTTTCAGGACACAATAAAGGGGCTAATAGTTGTGAGGGAGAATGGACGAAGCTGGATTTTTGGATTGAAAAGCTCTATTCGAGGCAGTGAGGGAGGGGTCGTGCTGGGTCTCCTTATGGCCATCGCGTGCTCTGTGACTAAATTCAGCATGCAAGGATATTCAATCCCTGACCTGAAGATAGCCCTCAAACTCCATCAGGGAATCATTTCAACCGATGCTTCGTAAGCGTGTGTCCGCGCGCCCTTTATTCTAGGCGCGTAAAATCAATATTGTTTTACGTGAGTCGCTCGGATAAGCGTCCAGAGTCCATCGTTGTTGCTTAGCAGTGCCAAGGGCCACAAATTTCTATAGAATAGTATACTCCTCTACTGGTAGCGTGGAACGAAAGCTTCAACAACCTAGCATTGCCCTGATTTGTCCCAGACAAGGCACGGTGTACGCTTGGGAATTCTACGCAAGGGCCGTGTTTGGTCTTTGGAAAAAAAACGTGTTCGTCATGAGAAAAATCTTTCTGATGGTAGATTTTCCCTGTTGTGCGCGCTGTTCACAATTCCCATTGGGTGGGGGAGGCCGGGATGGGGGGATGGTGGTACTTGCTCATCGCCTTGGGAGGGGGGGGGGAGAGGGCGTATTTTCTTCGGAACATTTTTTTTTCGGTAGCTGACTTTTCGCGCTTTTACTCCTTTCATGTGTCCCAACCACAATGGCTTCTTTGGAAAACAGGAAAAGTCATTGTAGGTTAGGAAAACTTTTGGAAGATGGTAAGTAGCATGTGGAAGGAGGTATGAGGATGATTTTTGCCAAAATTCTCCGCCCGCCCTAACGCGCTACGACGAAAGTGCCCGCTCCCAGGGTACTCTGAATGCACCCTCAAAAACGTTGTCCAAAAACCGTCTAAAAAAATTCAAAAGCGTTCCTGCAGACTACAGTAGTCATCGACAGCGAAACACTCGAATGTAATGAGCTCGCTTTTGAAAAAAACCCTCCTAATTGCCGTCAGAAATTCTAATTCACCCAAGTAAATTCGCTGCTATGCAACCAAGATAGCAATCAAATTTAGGTGCATCCATTGTAAGGACAGCGCCAGAATAATTACTGGAAATGGGTTTTTCAGGGAAAGGAAACGCATTGGCTTTATGGCTGCCCGTTATTCATGAAATAACGATTGGGTTCTTAATGAAGACGCATGCACGCGCATTTCACGTGAATATTTAAGGGCGTCGTGCCGCTGAGAAAAAATTTAGCCGAGTATGCAACTCCCTCTCTCA